TTACATACTAATTTTGAGTAGAAATAACTTGTTTCAAGTAGGAATCTCGGGACTAGTTAACTAATTTTTAATCGACTAATATTTAGTCGACTAATGTTTAGTTGACTAATTTTTAATCGACTAATATTTAGTCGACTAATTTTCAATCGACTAATGTTTTGTTGTTTGTTGACTAATTTTGGCACGTCCAATTTTTATGAATGGACATCAGTATTTTGTTCACTTGTTGCGTATGAAGAGTTTACACGTTTATTTAGGTATGCGGATTTATTTTTATAAATCACTATAATTGATTCTAGGTTATAGCTTCTATCGTTGGTAGGAATAATAAATCTAGATTATTGTTTATAGTTATAACGTTTTCATAGTTATAACTGTACCGGAGATTTCGATGCAAAATAAAAATTGTTTGCACTTATTGGCACAAATAACAGTGAAATAGAAACTTCTTTCGTGTGTCATTTGACAACTTTGATATAAGCTGAAAGTAATACACTAATGATACTCTCAAGTTTTTGTTTAATCTTCCTACTTCCTGCAATTATCTTAAATACTCCTTGTTTTGTTTTAAATACTTAATACTCGCGGTCTATTCACTGATGAGGTATGAACAAAAATATTGTCACAGCAGAATGATGAATTCTCCAATTATGATGCTACGTGTAAAGAACAACATACACGAGATTAATTTGATTTACTTTGCACGATGTACAAAATCATGATCGTCAGAAATGTGTGTCGCAGTTAACGTTACACAATCGAAATTTGTTCATCTAATTTCACTTTATCCACGATGTTTCAAAAATATCTCGTTTCTCCTTCACAATCGCGGAGATTATGCACGATGATTGACATAACTTATCACTTTGAATACATCAGAGAAGATCTCGTGATCTAGACATAATTTCAAAAATTTGGTCTGCAGAAAGGGTCAACGTTTATCGAATATCGAAGTATTCGCGGGAAGTAACATCTCCGATTAAACGTGACGAGGCTCCTGCAGTCGATTAGTATCCCAATGAGCTGCTCCTTTTGCGGACTATGCCGCGACCGTACTTGAATTGCATCCTGATTGGTGCACTGTCCGCGTGATTCCGACGACAGCGCTGCGCTACTTACTAATAACGATTTGATATATTTATTCTCTCACGGTGAATTCGATCTACGACTAAGAATAGACGACTGCGGTGCTCTGTACATGGCACACCGAACACATTAATTCCATTATACTTTCAACGGACTCGCATCTTTCCCTGTGTCTTGAGACTGTGCGCGGCGCGGCGCGGCGCTGCGCGACAATTTGCATATACAACAGCTGCATCGGCTGTTGCATCCGATGACCCAGACCCGCAACGAGAAACATCGTTACTCCTCGATGTCTCCGGAAAAGGAATCCACTCGTACTTCGATAGCTCGATGATTCATTGGACTGCGACATTCGAGATGGATCCCGTGTTTCCCGAGCTCGTGTTCGTTTTATTTGCACAAGGGAAGACTTGCGGAGACGAGCTTCGGAGGACACTATTGCTTCGGACAGGATATAAGAAACATTGTGTGACTATCTACTTCTATTCGATAGGATTAACTTTCGTCTAAATACGTTTACAGTGGTGTGAATGATTATACAGGGTATCCCAAAATTATTGTACAAGCGAGAAATGTAGGGTTCCTAAAGTCATTTGGAGTAACTTTTTCCTTAGCGAAAATGCAATCCGCGGCTTTGTTTGCGAGTTATTGACGAAAAACGCTGACCAATGAGAGGCGAGCTCGACTGGCGCGAAGTCAATGAACGCGCGGAGCCAATGAACGGAACTGGGCTTCGATCGCTCAACGAGCGGTCGACCTTGCATCAGCCGAGATGACCTCTCATTGGTCAGTCTGTTTTTCGTTAATGACTCGTAAACGCGGATTGCATTTTCGCTAAGGAAAAAGTTACTTCAAATGACCTCGGGAAACCCTCATTTCCCGGAAATACCACAATTTTGAGACATACTGTATGCATAGTTTGTAACTCTAATGGAACATGAAACGAAACATATGTTATCGACTTTTATGTCAAAAATCTAAATAAGATAACCATGATCTCACGGTAGATCACTGACTTACACTCTTTCGCTCGGCCATCAGAGTTATCGTAGGAATTACAATGTTGATATTAATTTTTACACCTGTCGAAAGGAAAGTTGATTGTAGATTCGAAAATGCAATCCGCAGCTTTGTTTGCGGGTTGTTGACGAAAAACAGTGACCAATGAGAGGCGAGATCAGAGCTGGCAATGAGCGGAACTGAGCTTTGACCGCTAAGATGGCTAAAATTTCAGATAGAATTAGGAAACAGAAGGATGAAACGAATGAAATTTGTAAATAAGATGAACGAATGGCTTTAGGTTACATCTGTAAAACAAAGTCCCTTTTTCTAGGCTGCGAGGCAGAAAATAATGAATTATTACTATTACCTGAATCGATAAAGATTAAATCTGTCCCTCTAGTTTTATTATCTTGACATCAATGTCTCTCTGGTTAGCTTGGATGATCAAAATTCTACTACCGTATGTACACCTCGGTTTAAAGACTGGCGGCGGACATTGGCGAGACGGGATTCCATGATTCGCGCGGTGCAAACGGTATCTCGCTACTTCGCGTCTAGTTTTATTATTAAAATTAACGCCGCGTTTGACGTTGTCCAGTTATTTCTGACGGGGAACAACGGCCGAGCAGATCGTCCTAAGACCGGTTTCATTAGCTCTCAAATTATTCGCGGTATAGTTCGCGGACCGGTCGAATGAATTCGACCGTTTCGGTCGATGATACGTACTACTATTAACATTTTAACGATCAGCTTTCCCCCCGCCACGCTCGCCGCTCGCCGATTGTTAATTACGGATTAAACGACGTGTTCCGCGGCGATCCTCGAGGAATTCCCCAACTGGAAACACGAGATTCACATTTCATAGGCCGGCCGACGACAACGTACACATCGTTGAGATATAAATTGGTCCTACGAGGTATCTTTCTTATAGTACGGTAACAGCCTAATTAACGCTGATTCAACGTAACGCGATATTTTTCCAATTTCTACAAAAGCTCTATTATTAGTAGCGATAGGTAAATAGATAAATGGTTAGATTATGGTGCAATGAAATACGGAAAAATCGAAAGTTGACGACGCATAATACAGTAGATTGCTATTGAAAAGTTTTTTTATTAATAAAAAAATTTTTTTTAAAATAAAGATAAAAGTCTTTCCCTCTTGCAAAGAAACCACTGTTCAAAATATTATTGTTGGTATTATACTACGAGCGAGAAACACTTGCTCGTGTAAATAGTAAATAGTACGAAACAATATTTCATAAGTACGTAGTAGTCTCGATTTACAGTGACTCGCATTAATATTCGGACACGATATTGTTACAAGAATTATTGCTCCTTTTTATTGTTTATGATAGTATTATCGAGTCAATTGTTTTCTCATATAATAAAGCACTTCTTAAAGTAAGTAGAAACATAAATTTTGTTTATTTATTGCACATGTTCTTTTGTGTAATAAGCGATAAACAAGATTGTGACAAAATTTAACGTCGCAAAAATACTCGGACAGTGAATGAATTACATTAATTTTATATAAAATGAAAATCTTTTTAGTCGTGTTATCATAATATTAATATTTTGTCGCGGTTGACCCTTTTGTTTTATTACTTCATGTAATCGCTTGGGCATGTTACAGATGATTTTATTGAAATAATCCGGCAAAATCCGTTTCCATTCGTCTAACAAACGTTGTTTTATCTCTGTTGTTGTCTTTGTAGGTGTTGTACGAATTTTGCGGTCCAATTGATCCCATAAATTTTCAATTGGATTTAAATCAGGCGATTGAGGGGGAGGATGCAGTACTTTTGGACAATTGTATAATAAAGACTGTTGTGAAACACGGTGGTAGGAGTGTAATAGCGTGGGGTTATATCTCGTCCGTAGGTATAGGTGAAATAGTTCTTATCGATGGTATTGTGGACAAAATGAAGTATTTGGACATTTTTTAAACAAAATTTAATTACAAGTGCTATAAATATGGGTATACGTACAGTTTTAAGTTTTATCAGGACAATGATCCTATACACAAGGCCACAGAATTGTTGTACACAGGAATATTTATTATAAAAACAAATGATTCAATAATACTATCATAAACAATAAAAATAATTCTTGTAACAATACCGCGTCCGAATATTAATGCGAGTCACTGTATGTATAGCGGGTGAAGATATTTCTAGATGGACGCGGACATGATGCAATATCGTAAAAGATAGAAGCACACCTAAAAGTTAACGTAATTTTTATTCATTTAACATTACAACCAAGGTGTTGTTTCTATACAAACTTGAAAAATACCACTATAAACATAAGCAAATGAAATAGAATTGCACTTCGCCAGTCTAAACAATTTTATCTAAGCGCAAAGTGTTAGTGGGGCGGGATGTAACAGTCGCTGGAATGAATTTTAAAGTTCAATGAATCATTTGCCGTGTACAAATATTTGTTGCGGACACCGGTGTAACGATGTCCCAATCCTGATTTACGTGACGCATCGCGTATTCGGGAGTCCTATCAATTTTCCATTCGGTTCCGACGCCTCGTGCAGACACCGCCGAGCCAAAAACAGCATTCTTCTGCTGAAGACAGTTTGGGGCGGTGTCGACGATGCCAGGTTTCACGCACGGCTTCCCATCTTTTTACAACGAGCTATACATATACATAATTGCGCTTCGTCGAGATCAGTTCCTCGCGATAATTGCCCGGAAATTACCAGCTGTCTCCTGAATCCAATACATTGCCAGTCAAGAGAGACGCGGAATTGCAAAAGCGAACGGCAATGCCTTAATTTATGCCTCCCGAACACGTCGCGTTTTGAAAATCCACGCCGCCGTGCGAGTCGCGACGTCGCGGGGAAAGAGATCCACGATCATCTTGAAAAACTGGCGAGATTTTTCCGATTTGTGTTCGCAGAGTGCAAGGTCGCGGGGTTCGTGAGCAACACCGGCCAGGTGGAAAGGGTGCCGTACGTTTTCTTGCCGCAACGAGGCCAAATAATCTATCCACACGCGGAGATACGTTTCGAGGGTGAGTTTAACCTTGACTTTCCCCGCGGCAATTGCTCGTCGCTGCGATTGCGAAACGAAGTGGTGTACGTCAGAGCGACGTCTTTTTCATACTTGGCATGTTGACGTTCGTAACGCAAAGGTGTGACGACCCCGGTCTGCGGAATCACTGGCGCCCAGCAATTAGGCCGGGCAGGATGGTCGGAGCTGAGAAACCTCTCGGATGCCGAACCACCCTTCAGGCTATATCGTGACGAAGGCAGGACGTTTCTGCAGGTTGGTAACACACGTCGGTATTAAATAAATAAGTTATTAGGCTGTCGTGACGGGCGAGATCATAATTTACGGAGGGGTCAGGGCTCGGGAGAGAATCGCAAAAGAAGCCAAGAAACACGCGAGCGAACCGCTTGGTTGCTACCAGAGGTGTCGGATCCACTCGAATTCAGTCCATCCCAGTTTTACTGAAAGTCGACGTAGCGATAATTGTAATTATCGAAACTGCTACCCTTTCTTCACTAGGACCTGTTTGATTTCTTCGAGATTCCAGCACCGTCCCTCGGCAGACGGGATATCATCCCGCTTTTGAATTTCTTATCGGAATAATTTCGTATCGGGGAGAAAGGCTGATTTAACACGTTGACTGCCACGCGTATTTACAACAAAATCTCCTACAGGCCACCCGTGCCGCTATAGGAAGCGTGCGCTGTTAATTCATATCTGTTTCTGTTCCTGCATGAACAGTTGGAATCTTTGCCGAGTACCGAATGGTATAACTTAAAATCTCTGCCCTTATTTTTTTTCAATAATGAAAAGAGATCGGATTGCCCGGAAGGAGAAGCATAAATTATATCGTCAGATTCTGATTTGGATACTGATAAATATAATCTTAGTGATAATGAATGTTATGAAGATACTATCGACGAGATTTTACGAGCATTGGTCATGGAAGAAGAAAGAAATGTTGATGATACCGATGAAGCTACAGTTCAAATAAAAGATACGAAATGGACCGATCAGAGGCACGAGCAAATCTGAAAAAACAAACAACTTTTTGTCCAAGCTGTCCTGATCAACCTCAACTTTGCAGAGAATGTTTTAATGTTATACACTGCGAATAATTTTTTTAATAAACCATTTTTATAAGAATTCAATAGTTTCATTACCTCCAGTAGAATATTTGTCGAAATATTTTCGGAAATCCTTTGTAAGTAGTCAAATCAGCGTCACCCGAATTACGGGTGACGTGGCCTGATGAGAACTTTTGCTGTCACCCGAATACGGGTGACGCGGCAGTCAACGTGTTAAGAGTGAAAAGTCAGAAACCGAACATGGAGCAGGTATTTAATACTATTTCCTGTGTCAAAACGCATGTACGTAGAAGTTAAAATTGACGATATTACTTCTTAAAGCAATTATTGCTAAGCGTGGCGAAGGTTGAAAGTAGTAATATTGTAAGAGGATATTCTTCCCTTTCGTTATTTATTGTTTAGAATCTTAAACATTTATTCTAATTGTAATAGCCGTGCTCGGAAGCATTAGGAAGACATAAAAATAAGTGGAAACATTTCTCGGAAATTTTTAAATAATGTTTTTCCGAGAAGCTTTTAAGAAATTAATTTTTTAAGTTTGCTTTATGAAATAACTTATCAGATTCGCACGGATTCGCGTTAATTTCTGCATAAATATTAAGAATGGAATATGTAGTTTATGTTTTCGTGAAGAAGTGCGCACAAATGCACAACAACAAGTTATTTTATGTTTTGTGAAATAAGTTGATGACACGAGCGTTCGCGGCGGATAAATTTTCAGTAACAATTAGTAATAATCATATTAATTACAAGCTTGAGTAATTGTCTTAGCAGAAATTATAATGCTTAAAGATGTAAATATTGTTCTGTTTTTATTTTCATTATTATTGTTTCTTATTTGTGTTATTATATTATTTTTATTGTACATTCGAAATCTGAAAATTATACTTTTGTAAAAAGAAAAAGATGAGAATTTCCTCTTTTCTTATTTCAGTCATCGTGAATTAAAACTGGCATTCTAAATCGATATACGTTGCTTTCTTTAAGCTGTTTGTAACAAAAAAACTATTCCAACTTACGGAACTCTATTAGCCCTCTTTCTACTTATATTTTATATTTATATTTATACTACTTAATATTTATAGAATACATTATGGCTATTATTATATCTATTACTATTGTCTATTATTATATTATTATAATATATCATGTCTAGAATTTTGCACTTCTAAATCGGCCTTTCTTCCCATTCCGCGTACTGTGACACATCTGCATATCAACGGTGCTTAATGCCTGCATATCTTTCAATAGATTCCGCAAACACGAAGGGACTAGAACAGATCGCGTTGCTAACATAAGGAAACGTAATCGACAGTTTCAGATAGCTCAATGACGAGGTCGTAGACCCGGCTCGATTACCGTAGAAAACACTAAACGTCTTCCTGAAAATGCGACATCCGGTAACAGTAATTGCGAACGGATTCGATTTTTGTTTCCGAAGCAAAAAACGTCGCAAATTCCTGACAATCGTAAAAACGTTGATACGAAGCTAATAACGGAATTTCGAGGAGCGTCGTACGAAGAAAAGATCGTGAAAATGGACAGCGCCGTAAACACGGCGTAAAATTTAATGTCACAATTTCACCGGTACCGCCGGATTGATTGAACCGTTTACGCGAAACGAACGGTCGCAGCGGGATACAAAAGATGCGGAGAGAATCGTTCGCGAACGGTTACCCCTGATTCTCGTTGCTCTCGTTTGTTGACCGGGGAACAGTTTTAATCGCGAGCGACATTTTGTTCCAGTGGATCGGCGAAACTGGTCTGAAAGAAGCTGCCGAAGGCCGCGTGGTCACGGCGAAGCTGGTCTGCAGAGACGCGTCCGCGAAATCAAAGTATACCGGGGTGTTCACGCCTTGCGTGGCCTTCAGGGTGGCCGGATCACCCTCTAAGAGTAGTAAGTTGCTGCTGTTCGTCGGTTTTCGAGCGGTGGCCCTTTCACCGTTGCAACTTTTCAGACGTTCGAGAAGTGATGTTCTCTTCGTCGTCGCAGCTGTCCCAAGGGCTTTCTACCACGGAATATACGGCCATCGGCCTCTCCTCCGTAATCTTGGCCCTGATCTACGTGGCGAGCGTTTCCCTCTATCTCCACAGCAAAAAGACCAAGAGGAAGATCATCGAAGAGCCGGAAATAAGCATAACGCATGGCCGAGAGCCGAGCGGATTGGTCAAAAGCAATCCGTTGCTGGCAGCTTCCAGACACTTCGAGAGCGACACCAATAGCGGTCTCACCGAAAGCGATCTTGGCGACGATCTTCCGGCCAGCGACGGAGAACAAGGCTTTGAAAATGTACGCCCTGACGATTATGCTGTTCGTTCTTACTTTCTGAGGACTAACACGTTTGAAAGTGAAACCTTGTTACTTGGGAAAGCGTAGAAAAATCTCTCGCAAATGATAAAATAATGTTCGCGATTCGTCTTCATTTTTCATTTACTGAAGTCACTCGCGAAACTGATCGGACGATATTGAATTGAAACGTTCACATGAACCGCCGCAATTTGCCTGTTAATTTAATCGTTCACGCTTTAGGATCATAATTAGTAGACTCGGACTTTATACATTTATGACAAAGTGAGTGCAGTAAATTTTCCCTAATCGGCGCTCTGATTGTGCACAAAAATGGACAATTTGAGAACAGGAGATACGATTATTCGAGTCCTGCGGCTCGTTTTTATAGTTGTTGACAATCGGTTACCGTAAAAGCGAGCCGAAAAACTCGAATAATTGTATCTCCTTTTCCCAAATTGTCCATTTTTGTGTACAATCTGAGCGTCAATTAGGGAGAATTTACTGTATATGGAACATGAAACAGTAAATGCAGAGGATTTTAACAATGCTGTTAGATTATCATCAACTTAGATTAACTTCAACAAAATGTCACGAATAAAAATCAATTTTTATATAACGTAAAGAAGTTTTATTTTGCACGAAGGTCCACAGTCTAATTGTTAGTAATCCCTGGCATTATGTGTAGAAAAAGAATCATGATATAAAAATGATAATTGTTACAATCAAGAAGAGAGGTATCACTTTCTTGTAATCATAGGTAACGTCGGCCATCATTCATCCCCATTGCGTTTATCTGGAACAATCGGAAATCTGTTACGCATCTGGCTCCGGATCCGGATCGATTCTAGGCGAAAGATTACCGGAAGAAGATGTTCGCGTGGTCGAAACCGCAGACAATACCCACCAACAAGACATCCCCGTGTTACCAGGAGCCCAAAGAAGAAAATTGTACTTCAACCCCGCCTACTTTGACAAACAACTGTTGCTGGTAAGCTGCGTACCGAGTCCCAGAATACCGACTGAGAAAATACTTAAAATTGGTTTAGTGTATTATCAAGTATTTCCTCAGGCTCCTCCTCCGGCAGCGATCGAGTTCCTCCTAAAGATCCGAGAAGTGATATCTATCGCGAAACACAAGATGGCTGCGAAGAGATTTGTTCCCACCCTTATCGGTGAGTCAAATCTTTCTGGTTTTTAAACGAAATCAGTACAATCCTTTTTACTTCCTGTTTGCTGGCATTTTTCAATCATGTTCCATTTTCTTGTTAATGCAGTCGATAATTGAATGGAAACCTCGAATAAAGGTCTATGTTACTTTTTGATCGGAACTCGGTTCACAGTGTAGTATGATTCTATTATACAGGGTGTTCCACAATTATTTTAACAGCCGAAAATGAGGGGTAGCTGAGGTCATTTGAAGTAACTTTTTCCTTAGCGAAAATGTTGATTGCGGTTTCCGTAACGAGTTGAGCCGTGTAATCTCACAAGAAGTTTCCAATTTAATTATTTCACTTTATCGCGTGACAAACAACAATTCAATTTCTTCGAACAACTTCAATTTCATTTACCCTGTCTTACGTCTTTGTAATACCTGTACCATTTATAAATTGTGTTAGTAGAACTGTCAGATACTAACTGGAGCTACTGGTTACTGAATCATCTGTAACTTTTTTTCTGTCTAGAACCCGTTCTAACCGAGTGAAACGAGTTCGTCTAAGAAGTATCACATCAAATTGCGACAATGCAAAAAATTGATAAAAAATGTTACGTAGACTTTTAGTTTCTGGAGATCAAGGCCACTTCAAGATCATGTTATTATTGAACTACGAATTTATGTGCCGTTTAGAATAGTGAACAGATTGACACTGGAACTACCAAACGAGTCAGAACGACTGGTTTCTGAATTTTTCTTTTACACAGTTCCTGATGTTATAAAATAATAAAAATATTTCTAGGAGAAAAATTGTTTTTATAAATTACACTTCCTTATTGAAGTATATATTATTATATAAATCATACGCAGTTCAAATAAATCCAGTCTTGGCATTGTTATAAAACAATATACATTAGTCGCGTTTAACCTTTTAGGCACGACGCGCCACTACAGTGGCTTCCGTGGATATCATCTTTTAGAACGACACGCCACTATAGTAGCTTTCGCGGATGTCATCTCTCTGGACGACACGCCACTATAGTGGCTTGCTCTAGTAACTCACTCACTCATCGTTTCAACCAAATAATCGTCTTCATATGCATTATTTCACAGTTCTTTTGTCTTCACATCGATTTACAACAGTCTACAGGGTGTCCCAAAAATGTCTCGCAATCCGGAAATGGCGAGTTCCTCGGTTCATTTGAAGCAACTTCTTCCTTTACAAAAAATTTTCTCCGAGGCACCGTTAACGAGTTATTAACGAAAAACAGTGACCAATAAGAATCGAGTACGGCTGACGCAAGGCGGCCCAGCCAACCAGCGCACGAAGCCCAGTTCCGCTCATTGGCTCGATCGCCTCGCGCCTGCTGAGCTCGCCTCTCATTGGTCACTGTTTTTCGTTAATAACTCGTTAACGGTGCCTCGGAGAAAATTTTTGTAACGGAAAAAGTTGCTTCAAATGGCCTGAGGAACCCGTCATTTCCGGATTGCGAAACATTTTTTGGACACCCTGTATATACCTGTCTCTTATACACATCTAGATGTGTATAAGAGACAGGAAATAGCCTCGCGCAGAATTCAGCCGTACCTAAAAGATTAAGGTTCGATAGTTCTAGTGTTAAAAGAATCGAATACTATCAATACATTAATTTCAACTTATTAAAATTATCAGAGAAAGACGAAAGCTAAAAATGGTTCCTCTGTCATGAAATTGACGCACAACATTTTCATTTTGCGTAGAAATCCGCAATTTTGTTATTATACGCATCTAAACATGTTCCTGTCGCATGTTAATACTTCGATACATATTACGTAAGAAATATTTGTTGCATTATCACAATTCGACGAGACATTTACGCGGCTTTAATTAAAAGAACCACCCCGTATAAATTTCAATTGATCCGCTGGCAACCAGGTTTGACGCGGATTACAGTTAGGGCCGCACTTACGATTCCATGTATAATGACGCAGGTATACCGGAAGAAGACTCCGGTTCCGATCGGTGTGACTCGGCGGCCAGAAGCCGGCAACTATCGACCTCGAGCCCGTTCCAGGGGTCTCTGGCCAAGTCACGAAAATCCCAGCGATGCACCGGATGTCCAGGATGCACCGAGCCGTTCGCGAACACGCCTGTCCTTACCAAAGTGGATCAACCAAGTCCGGGCGAGAGCAAGGTTCGCGCATGGCTGGAGGACGTGAACGCGCCGCAACGTCGCTGGCGAGACAACGAGGACAACCGGCGAGCCTTCCAGGAGAACACCGCGACCTTCGCGAACAGTCTAGCATACTTGAAGGAATTGGCAAAACGCGACGATTCCGACGTGAACGCGGCAAACTTTACGGGAAAGCATCCGTCCTCGTGGGAGAGGAATCTATCGATGTCGAAGAACCTGCAGAATGGGACGAGAAGCGAGATCCTCGAGAGCGACGATCGACACAGTCTTTCCTTGCGTTCCGCCAAATCGATGTTCGAAGAGATCCGTTGGTCCGGCCAACGAAGCCTGGACGCCGCCGACGGGCCCAACGGCGACGAAGCCGTGAACGCGAAAGTGAGGAAAGCGATCGAGAACTCGTTCATCGAGCAGATGGAGGAGAACGCTATGGAGAACGCGACGGACGAGAAGACGCCCGAGAAGCGGCCGAACCAAGAAGAAGAGAACAACGTGGACCGGACCGAGGTGAAACACAGCGCGAAATCGGCGAAGACCGAGGCCGAGGATAGCTCGTCGCGTGGACGAGTCAGGAACCCGAGAGGAAGCTCGAGTCCGACGAAGAAAGAGCTGCCGGACATGATCAACGAGCTGCCTAATGGTACGAACACGGCGAAACGTATCATGGATGCTGTGATCCGTGAGATGGTCGATGCTAAAGTGCTAGAGCATCACTCGAGATCGGACAACGCAATGGATTACGAGGTGGACAGCCTGGAACGGTCGAAATGCAGCAGGAAATCTTCGACTTCGCCGGAGTCCACCGATCAGTCGAGTCCCGCTTTGTCCACCGCGTTGCCGATGGACGAAGAACTGACGATGCAGAACGCGGTAATCGACACGAAGACCGGCGAAATGATGACCATGACCATGAAGATGCCGCCGCTGAACAAGGACGTGCTCGAGAGAAACTATTACAACAGCCTGCCGGAGCTGATCTCCTCGCAGAAGTACGAGAGCTACTCCTTGGTGAGCGAGGTGTACGTGAACGACGGCTACGACAGCCCGGCTTGCAGCGACGAATCGGGACCGGAGATCCAGTACGAGCCGGAGAATCCGGGTCATCTGACGATCAAAGTGCAAGACTCGCCGGAGAATTATGCGAAGCAGGACGAATCGGAGTACGAGCCTGACACGCTGGACCGGAAGCCGATGAAGTTGAAGATCAACGACGACGTGAACTACGAGAGGGAAGTTCCGAGCGAAGTTTACGTGGACTCGCTCGAGAGGCCGGCTCAGATACTGTTGAAAAGCAAAGGCAGCTTTCGGGATCAGGACTCGGCGCGGAACGAGAATTGCCTACAGCGTGGCTACGGCAGTCTCCGCGAGATTTATGAAGCCAGATTGAAATCCAATCTGGTGGATGGCAACGCGAACGACCGCGTCGAGTTGGACGTACAGTCGGGAGACGGCGGAGCCTGGGAGAGGAACAAGTACTTAACACCCGATACCAGGCAGGCAAAAAGGCAGCGTCAGCCGAGCAACCACCCCGATGTAGTGCCGCTGCCGCCCACGGAAGAACTTTACCAACATCCGAAGCCTTTGCGACGCGTCGAAGACGCGAATCACGCGCCGAACTCGTCTCTGTCAAAAAACGGCTGGGACAGGAGTCCTGCCGAAGCGGGTGACCCTACGGCCAGCAACGGTACTCCTGTCCCCAGCAACGATTCCATCGTAGGGACTGCCGATTCTTGTGACTGCAAACTCGTTACGGCACGATCCGAAGAATCGGTCACGGCGAAACGCGGGCACGCGAACGCTGAGACGAACGCGTCGGCGGAAACGTCGAGAAAGAGGAAGAAGAAGATGAAGAAATTCGATCAAGAGACGGTGCAGAACAATTGCGCCAGGGACACCGGAAACTCGAGTCACCGATCGCCTGTGTGTTGGAACAGCGTACGCTGTTCGGTGGAGAAGAAGAGGTTTCCGGATCACTGTCACCTTCATAAGCCTATCTCGAGGAGCAGGCCGTTCGAAGAGACCCGCGAGGAGATGCAGAAGAGACACGAGGGCTTGCCGTGTTACTCGCGGAAATATTCGAGCGATCCTTGTCAAAATCATGAGTCCGCGAACTTCGTGAATCGCGTGCACGCTGACGATCGTCGACCGCGGATAAGGGTCGAGGACAGCGGATACCTGAGCAGCACGGACAGCAACAGTTCGCAGAAACAACTGCTCAGACACGAGGCGAGCAGCGTCTCGGAAACGGACGAAACCGAATCCGTCTGCGACGGAGCCAGCGAGAGCGGGGCCGAGAGCGTGGGAACCGACAGCGTGTTCTTCGGCAACTTTCGCAGATTATCCGAGTTCTCCGGCTTCGCGAAGAGCCTGGACTCGGGCATGGAAATTGGACCAAGGAACGCGGTGTTGCAGCCGTTCGCTGTGAGAAGCGAAAACGCAGGATTTGAGAGGACGAATTTCAGCACTAGTGACAGCGAGACCGAGAGCTTCGTAACCGTTCTTCCGCCCCGTGACGTAGCCAGTGACCCTATCTAGATGTTGCGACAATTGGTCGAAATTTCCGATGGAGATCGTAACCATCTATATGTACAACCGTTCCGATACACTTATTCTGCCTGTTACAGTCTCGTGGCTTTGACATCTTGTCTCTTCGCTCTATTCAGGCTACATTTTCTCCGCTTTCTTCATCTAGGAAACGCCTAGGAGACTTCGAACATTCACGGTGCACGTGCGGACAGCGACGGGAAATCAAAATTCAATTGCCATTGATAAACGTTAAACGAATCTTTAGACAATGTGTGAAAGCAGTTGAACGACGTGAAAAAGAATATAAGTGAAATTTCGAAATCGAACGTGATATACAGGATGTTCCAAAATTATGGTACATCCAGGAAACGAGGGGTTACTGAGGTCATTTGAAGTAACTTTTTCCTTAGCGAAAATGCAATCCGCGGCTTTGTTTGCCAGTTATTGACGAAAAACGCTGACCAACTGGGCTTCGACCGTTCAACGAGCGGTCGACCTTGCATCAGCCGAGCTGGCCTCTCATTGGTCAGTCTGTTTTTCGTTAATGACTCGTAAACGCGGATTGCATTTTCGCTAAGGAAAAAGTTACTTCAAATGACCTCGGGAAACCGTCATTTCCCGGAAATACCACAATTTTGAGACATACTGTATGTACAGTTTGTAACTCTAATGGAACATGAAACGAAACATATGTTATCGACTTTTATGTCAAATATCTAATAAGATGACCATGATCTCACGGTAGATCACTGACTTACACTCTTTTGCTCGGCCATCAGAATTATCGCAGGAATTACAATGTTGATATTAATTTGTTACACCTATCGAAAGGAAAGTCGATCGTAGATTCGCTTTCGGGTCAAATTGGCTAGACCGGTGCACTAGGATGAACGTTTGGTTAGCCTTGTCAGGTGAAACGTTTACGGCCAGTATATTAATGTTAAACAATCTTATTGTACTTTTAGTCTAATTGAACACGTTTGAAACGCGTAGGCGTTTGAAAGTTCGATGAACGGGTAAGTGTCCGAGTGCAGTCTTCTTAGTTATAGCAACTACGACTACTGGAGACTCTTAATCGATTTTAGGTAATCAAAGCTGGTACGTAATTAGTATAATAATCTAGGAAAGATGTCAGGAACCCTATATACTTCGCATTTATCATAGATTGTTTCTAATATTATGGCAAGCAATAGCGTTTACGCAAGCTTTATAAGTTACGAACGTTGGACGTTATTTATTTACGCCCGGTGTTGCTTGAATTGCCATCGTAGAATTTAATTTATATAAGTGGCCGGAAGTGCAATATTATTTTGTAGAGAGGAATACTGTAGCTAATTGTCCTACAGTGATATCTCTTTCTCGGTCGAGAATTAGTATACGTACGTACGCAAAAATTACGGTTAATTGCTAGTCGACACAATAATTCCTCTAAGGATGTAATATAGAGTAATTATGTTCAATATGACTAATATAATATATTGTAAATAAAAACCGATTAAAAGTACAATAACAAGATGCGACAACTATAGTAAATCGTTTAAAGACCTGTTGAACGAAGGAAAAATGAAGATGAAAACGCGGTCGACACAGTCATTCCTAAATGTATCAAGTAATAAATGATATTTTAAAGGTCAGAAAAAAGTAATGATATGTTCCCAAATCGGTATTCACAAACATTATGCTCGTCCGTTATTGCTTTGATTAGTAATTTCTTTTATCGTTGTTCGTCGATTACTCCTTTATTAAATACAGAACGGTATTTATACTCATTTTTAATCAAATAGAGCCAAATAACATTTGTTACTGGCGATATACCTGTGCATCATTATGCACCTTTATTCACATATTTAACGTTGATTTATAAAATATATAATCAAATATATTCTACGTTCGTCGCGTTAATTTATGATAGCATTTTGTACATACATATATTAAAACTTAGAGAAAACGGAGAATGGTTATTGGTTATTACTTAGAATTTGATAGTTTTTCTTATTATTTCGACAAAATCGTTGTTTTATATCGGAAGCGCACGCTTCAATGTACCTGCCAAATGTATGAATAAGATATATATTTTAATATATTGAATTTTGATAACATATTAAGATATAATGACGGTACACTTGATATCGATGATGAAAGGAAATTTTAATTGAAAGAATGTATTTTAATAGAATTTATGTAATATTTATATAATATTTATATTGTAATTGTATAAATGGCTAATCGATTACCATGTTATCACGCGATCAAAAAAAAAAATCGGTTGTGTGACTATGCGTGTGTGCTATAATATATTCCAAATGAATTTAGATAAATTATAAATCGAAATAGTATATGCAATTCAAAGATTTTGCATGCTTGACAGAAAGGAAAAGAAAAAATTAATTGCATATTACTACTTCTCCAAAATGAAAGGATATCTTTTAATTTAGGATCGAGAATGAACTTTCATATTTCTCTCCTACAGAATTGGGAACAGCGATCGGTGTTGGTAGGGATCAGGGATTTTAAATTATGAACACGAAAAATTTTTTATGGGACACCTAAGTATATTTACATTAATTACGCTCAGTAGAGGTGCGTCGTTGTACGGAACATTATACTGTGATCATGTACTCACGTGAATTCGTGAAACTTATGTTTATAGATAATCTTGAAATCTCTATGTTATGTATTTGCAAAATCACATAAATATATCATTATACATTTCTAAATTTATTTATTAGAAACATCTATTTATTTCAAAACGAAATAAAGAGGGCGCGAAAAACTTATAACCGAGCAATAATTCGCAAATATTACTCCATAGTATAATATTATAATACATACGTATATTACATATACATATAATTAATACTAAACAATAAGTCCACAAAACATAGTTTTCTAGAAAATTTCTTTTACTTTTCGAGTCGACGATTGTGTTCTAAATCGCTTACTTCAACAGAACTATCTATATTACTCGCCGAATCATTGATTATATCTAAAACTACATGCAACAATCTATTTTTGTAAAGTTTAACATATTTTAAATGTTCTGCTTCTTTCGATACGCCCTCATATTTGATCAAATAGTTCATAACATTCCATAAGACGCTACGAAAATCTAACAATATTCTTGCAGATCTAAAAAAAAAAACGAAATGAAATAATCATAAAATTTGAGCATCTAATAATACGCACCTTTCGTCGGTGACAAAAGTTAAGTTTTTCAAGTTGTTTATAGTGATAGTAACATTCTTGTCTTCAGCACTATCGTCTTGTTGTACCTATAAATATGATAATTCATGTATTAATTAACCTATGCGTATTTCAATATCAATTTATGCTATTTAGAAATTGTAATGTATAAAAGTACTTTACCTTTTCGAAAAAAACCTCACCCTGACTAAATAACAGCACCGATAGTGGTGAAATTAAGCTTGTGTCATGAACTACACATCGTCTTGATTCATGATCATGAACTCGTGCGACATATGTTAGAAGTTTACTTGGCCAATTCTGTCTTTTGTAATTCACACTTCCAGTTGAAATAATAACTGTTTTATTGTCTCTAAAAAAAAAAAACGAAATGTAAGTATTATATCTACACTTCTTTTATTTTATAAAGGGAACTCTCCGATTTCTTTTTTGCATATTTTAATTGTATATAATTCCAAAAGTATGATTCAAGTATTTATTATCGTAAAGAGTAAATTAGATCGAGTTAACAATATTTTTACGCTATGTTTTTACTTTTCTTTTTTAACCGTTTAAATATAACGCGCGGCGCGATCTCGTTTCTGGCTAGTTAAAAACTTAATGTTAAAAACTTCGAAACTTATTTAAGACATTAATTAATTACAGGAAAGCTACCGCACTACCTGATATTTTCTATCAGACATTTGTGAAAGCCTGTAGCATTTGAATGGTTAAAAAATGTATGAAAGTAACTGTACTATTTTTACCGAGAATCTCTTTAATGGTCACCATACTTACTCGGTTCGTATTGTAGTGATACGTTTTGAAAAATAGTTGTTTTTAAATCCATAAGGGAAGACCCTTAATAGTTGATTAGTAGCTGAAAATAAAATAGCACGAAGCAATTCCTTATGTTTATTGTGCTCATTCACAATCTCATATTCCTCAACATTATGGAACATGCCACTCTGAAGAAGTCCATCCAGATGTAGTTCGCGAATCTCTATAAAGAAATAGTTACTCATTAAACTATCATGTAGCTCACATTACTATTCTAGATACATAATAAACTTACGTGTTATCCTTTCGTACTCCTTGAAATCCTGACTTCTCTCGTAAACGTAATCCAATTCTTTAAAATTCTGCTCCAATTTCTTATAAGTTTCTATCATACCAATATGGTCACTCGAGTTGTGATGTTCAGTTTTTCGTCTTCTCTTCGTCGTTTTATCGACTAACGAGGTAGAAGACGATTCGTTGTCAGAGGATAAGATTGTAACTAATGTCAACATAGGACCCAAAGATCTAGAAAATATAAAAAGTTTATGAATCGCGGATAATTTGTATTAACTTTAGAAACTTCTGTTTTTATACATACTGAAAAAGATAAGAAAATATTATTGCTTTGCTCAACTTCACATCCAATGAGAAATACATCACACGTCTTCCTAAAGGTGTCACATTTTCATTTTGATCAAGAATGCCAAGGTCTTTCAAACATTCTACAGCAACGAATAGCGACGTTTCGTTGGGTTGCTCAATCATACTACCAAAGAATTCTTTTATTGTCTCATTACTAAATATTTTACTAGTAATTACTGCTTGTTCTAATGATATTCTGCGTATTTCTGGTTCTGGAAATTCATTTAATTGGTTATATATATCTTTCGTTATGAAATGATAACTTTCACCAGGTGAAACACGTCCAGCCCTTCCTCTTCTGCACATCAAGAAAGGTCAGTTTCATTAAATTTGGCTTCCTTCAATAATAAAAATTACCAAAAGTAAACATTACCTCTGCAAAATATTTGCCTTTGATACCCAATGAGTCGTTATAGTATACAAACATGAATCTGTGTCCCAAATGATATCTCTTTTGCGAACAGTATCTATAACATACTTAACATCTGGAATTGTGATACTGCTCTCAGCAATGTCTGTAGCCAAAATAATCTTTCGGACTTCATCGGAAACAGCTTCGAAAACTTGTTTTTGTTCAACATTTGTTAGCTTCGAATGAAATGGTAATATATGAAGATTCCTAACATGTGATTCTTTTAACATGACACGTAGATTCTGAATTTCTCGCCAACCTGGTACAAAACATAAAATACTACCATATGGTTTATTCTTTGCAATCCACAAGATTAGACGTAGTAACTCGTTGACAGGAATTTTCATTTCGTTGTATGTATTTTCTATTTTTATGCCTGTTTTGCGTTCAATATCTTCTACAAAGTATGTTTCTACTGGATACATTTTTCCTGGAATTTCAATGCTAGTGCACTGAAAGTACTGTTGAAATAATTCCGTGTTCACTGTTGCAGACATAATTATAAGTTTCAGTCTTGGCTTAATGCGTAACAATTTTTTCATTATATTAAGTAGTATATCGATTTGCAATGTCCTTTCATGAGCTTCATCTATAATTACATGCGATACACCTTCTAAAGTTGGATTCTGTTGTAACCTTCGTAAAAATATACCAGTTGTGCAAAACAAAATTGATCCCTTCGTTGGTGGTATTATATGATTCAAACGTACATGGAAGCCTACAGATTCACCAACAGCTTCTTCTCTCTCATGAGCAATGCGTTGTGCAAGAGTCACAGCTGAAATTTTTCGTGGTTCCGATACAAGTATGTTACATTCATGCGCTCTGTATGCTTGTATGTATGCATCCATTATAAACTGTGGTACTTGAGTACTTTTCCCACATCCTGTATCACCTTTGATTAAGAGAACCTGGTTTTCATCTAGACTTTTAAGAATTTGTGATCTGAAAAGTTATTTTTATTACATAAATCATAATTCAATGATACAATATTTCAATACATACTTGAATTTTATAATTGGCAAATTGCTTTCACGTGTTCTTTCAGAAAGCTTTTTCAGTAATATACTATTACGTCTCTCACTCTTGCTATCTATACTGTCTGGAGATACCATACTTTCTACTGAATCATCTACAGTGTTAACTATATTGGATGAGCTTTCTACAATGGGTTGTATTTCCTAAAAATATCTTTTCTGTACTACAGGTTTGTAAAAAATTATGAAATATATATGAATTTGGTTATTATTTAGAAAACTTACAGTAGTATATACATCTAACATAGCTTGAACGTCATT